TCAGATAATTCATCGTGATCTTGCAGCTCGCAACATCCTTCTCGATGAGCATCGTGTATGCAAGTTGACTGATTTTGGGCTCTCTTATCAGGATTTCAAATACGGCGCAGGAAATGCCAAGAGGGTAATTTTCAGAAATTTCTTAATCACTTGTTCAGCGAGTTTTTATTTGACTGTCATCGAATACATCATAGACCATAATGTGAGGTTAGCTTCCCCTACGTCTACACCAAAGGTATAGACGAGAAATTTGTTTTAGGGCTGTTGGTATGAAAGATTCAAATGTAAAAGAACTAAGACGAAAAATGGGCGTATGCAAGTTGATGACGTCAACTAGGCCACTATTTGAAACTAAAACCAAAACTTGAACTATTCTGACGAACCTTACTTCCTTTTATAATGATTTACCGCCAAACATGTTTCCCTTATCGAAATGCCACTCTTAGCGTTTCAAAAGTTTCATACATATATATTAAATCACTCTATATTTATCTCTATATTGATAAATGCTCTATATTTATATTACATCACTCTTTATATTTATCACTCTATAAGTGATAAATTGTAAACTGTAAATTGTATACAAACCAAAAAAAAAAACTGTACACTGTACCAAAACAGTGAACGCAGGGAATAAGAAAATCAGAGTTGATAAATGTTCTTTTAAGTGCAAGAATACCAACTCAAACATGTCCAAGGCAGTAACACAGGAGATGTAAAGAAAAAGAACCATGTGATCTGGATCCAAAGAGATTTGTAGAAACACGTGTGTTGCTCTTGAATTTATCGCGACTCCTTGCATCTTTGGTGAAAAAAGGGTATAAATCTTTATGGAATATATTTCAGAAATTGTATTCCAGTGTATTTAAATTACATATGCTTATAGTATTCTAAATACTCACTCAGGGATGTATCCCAATCAAATGGAGTGCACCCGAGATTCTTTATGGCCATGTGGAACGGCTGTCAACCAAAAGTGATGTGTACGTACTACACTCGACATTAATATACATTTTCAACCTGTTTACGATGCTCACTTAACGAATTTAAGGGTTTAGAATAATCTGTTTTGTTGATCACAGTGTTATTAGGATACGTCGAACCAGGAAATCTGAGGGTACAACTGCAGCATAAGATTTAGATGAGTATTGAGTTTAACGGGCAATAGTTAAGTGTCCCTGTCTGAGGAAGTGTTCTTAGAGCCAAAAGTAGTGGTCAACCGATTTTCCTGAGACTTGGCAGAAAAGTTGAGTGTGATAAGATATTTAAAAAGTCACTTTGGCTCACTTCTCTGACTATTTGTTCTGTAGTTTCAGCGGGGGGGAGTCCCATTTTTGGCCTATAGAGCACCAAAAAATGAATCCTTCTAGGTGGTATTTTGAAAGTGCTATAAAACTCCATTGGTAAATTGTGCTGCCAAGTGATTTTGACCATGGAGCATACTAAAGTGGAGCTTTTATTTCATAAATGTAAGTTTGTTCTCAAGCAATTAGACTAAAGTTAGGTCAAGTTTGAGGTCAAAATCACGACCCAAAATTGCTATTTTTCAAAAAACCCTAACATTTATTTGCCTTCTTGCATAACTTTCATACCACATCCAGTATGTACTTTAGTGACCCATTTATCAAATCAGTTGAGATTGGCTTATCAAGGTTTGTTAGGTTTTCGGCACAAACTCTCCATGCCCCTCTGAGGCCAAGCAAAATGGAATTTTTAGCATAATTCATGCTATAAACAGACCAAATTCTTGACATAAAGCCCTAATTTTGTATTTGGTGGGTTAAAATGAAACATTAAAACCAAATCAGTGTTATTATTCCGAAATACCTCGACTCATTGTTTACAAATTCTCTAAGAAGGCCTCTGATTAGCACTACAGACACCTAGCGGTTTGGCAAAATAAAGGTAACTTTTTTTGTATGAAAATCCTGTACCCATCATACAGAATAAATGATGATGTTCTGACCTTCATATGACAATATTTTTAAAGATGCTTGAGTTTTCTCTGACCTATGTTTGTTTGGTCATACTTCCATATATATCATACTCCAAGCATTTAAAGTCTCTATGTTTGGTCAGGCCAAAAATTAAAGTGACCAGAATTGTTAGAAGATGTTTTATGTCTAACCTTTGAATAGACTGAATAGCTCCGGCAAATACCATGCAAACATAAGCTTACGTGCCGCGGTAAGCACCGTCCAGGTAACTTTTGATCCACCAGAGATCTTAGATACTTTAGAACTGAATAAATGGAACCATCCAACAAAGAGGGAATCCACAGTCAGAAGAGCTGGATGACAAAAAATTATTTATGTTTTTATGAAATATTCCACACGAGACATGAGATGATGCCAATAGGGCCCGCCATTAACTTCGTGAGAGTATAT